GCCAAGGAAGTCAAATTGTTAATTTCAGGTGTTCATTGTCGGCATTAATGTTGTTGTTGTGTTGTTGTGATTGTAGTTTCCTTCATATTCAGCTGCAGTTCTGCTTTCCCGCTTTCTTCTTCCACTTTCGCCAGGAGTCATTTAAGCCACTGTTGCCTCCTGCCAGGGAGCCGCGAACAGAGAATCAGACAATGGGAGTGCCGGAAGGGGCCTGGTGGGCCATCAGACCCAGCCTCTGCCCCAGGCAGGATCCCCAGGGAAGTGCCCCTCTCAGAGGGCTGGCCAGCCGCCTCTTGTGGGCCCCAGTGTGGGAGAGCCCCCCAGATCCCCAGAGAGTTGGTTCTCCTGTCGTACTACCCAGACAGTGAGGAACCTGTCCATGCTCCATTTCATCCTGCTCTTTTCAGCCCATGCTTCAACTGATTAAGTTCCCTTTCTGTTTCTGTCTTCCAGGGAATTCCCTCCCCCACCCCATTGGGGGTCATCCAGAAATTTGACCAGCATTCGGGATCAGGGCTGCTCTGGAGGTGGAACCAGGACACCGCCGTGGTCGCCGGATCGGTCTCAGGGCCCTGCAGGAGCTCCCTGCCTCCTGATCAGCTCCGTCTGGGAGCCCAGGGAAAAAGGACGGAAGGGACAGCTCTCCCCCCGGAACGGGCCCCAGTGATGCAGGGGTCCATTTGAGGAGTGCCTGCATCTTGTCTGAGCCACATCCTGACTCTCTGCCCTCCGGCCAGCTGAGGGACGGCCCAGCGCCTGCTCCCCGCCTGCCCCGGGCTGCGCTTGGCCCCTGCGCTCTCCCGCCTTGCCACGCTGCCTTAGCGGTGCAGCTTCACCTGGAGACTGTGGCTCAGCTCCTGCGCCTTGCCGGCCCCTTCCAGGGACCCTGCCTCAGGGTACCTGCACTTCCACCTGCCTTCCTCCACTTGGCCCTCTGAGCATACGCAGAATGAGCATCATTTCGCTACATGGAAGATCCCCCAAAAGAAGGAAAGGACAAGTCTGTTTGCCATCTTTTCCCACCGGGAGACCACGGGACACTGTTGAATGTCTGTCTGGTAGAGTGTGGTGTGCATTACAATCCAACAGATTGAGAGGGAAGCCCGTTGGGAAGGCTGATGGAAAGGCACAAAGAGAAGAAATTTTCACTTGTTGGATCAGCCAGTGTGTTTGAGGGGGGAGTTCATGGAAACCAGGACTCCTAACCTGGAAAGGGTGCCAGAAAGGCATGAAGAGAAGACTCAAGATGTTGGCTCAGCGGGGGGCAGAGGGGAGAGTTAATTGAGACCAAGACTCCAGGTCTCCTCCCCTGGGAAACCCACAAACTGTACAGCACCCATGTTTCCCAGCAGCTGGTATTCCTGGTGCACTGAGGGTAGCATGGAGCCATGAGGACTAGCAGTTTGGGATAGCTTTCTGCTCAAGCCTGAATTCATCTGATCCACTTTCAAGCCCCCTCTTCCTCCTGGGGAGGGGAATCTTTCAGGTTAACTCCCTCCTTTGACCTGTCCTGAATCCCTACAGTCAGCTTTATGGGGTACCCTTGTCGGGGAGGCTATGTGGTGCAGTGGTTACAGTGCCAGGCTGGGATTCTGGCAACCCGGGTTTCCATTCTGGCTCAAGCATGGAGCTCCCTGGGTGACTCTGGGCCAGCCGCTGCCCCACCGCTCAGCCTTCCTTGCAGGGCTGTTGGGAGCAGACGGGGGGGGGAGGCTGTGCATGTTGGGCAGGAGCCATCGCGGCTGGTGGAGGCAGGTGCTGCCCTCCGATTGACTGCGGGTCCAGAGAGGTGGGCACAGGCGCCGTTCTACACAGTGATTGGCCCTCTGATGCTGCTCATTAGCACAGCCTGGTGGGGGGGGGTCTCTCTTCCCCCTACAGCCCCTCGGCGGTTCCTGGTCCAAAGCAAGGGCGAGTGCCGCTTCTCCAACACAACGGGGCAGGAGCAGGTGCGCTTCCTGCAGTGGTACATCTATGACCGGATGGAGTTCCTGCTCTTCGACAGCGCCGTGGGCAGGTTCATGGCCGTGATGCTGCTGGGGGAGCCCATCGCCACAGACTGGAACAAGAAGGTGCTGCAGGACAGGCGGGCTGGGGTGGACCGCTGCCGGTACAACTTCCATGCAGCTGTGGCTGGGCGCATGGTGGGCAGGAGAGGTGAGTCTCTGGGGGGGAGCCCTTCCTCGCCTGTCCTCCCTCGGTCCCCCCCCCAACTAAGCGGCGATCCTCAGGATCCCCAAGACTGATCCCAGAGGGGACCCGCCCCTCAACCACCCCCGAGGTGCCCCCTCTGGCAGGTGGATTTGTGGTCGCCCCATATTTGAACCAGTCCACTGAAAAGACGTTGATGCATTTTCATTTCATTTCTAGAGGATTTTGGCAAAAAAGAGGTAAGAAGCAAGTTTCTTCCTGTCCCTCCCAGGGAATTTTCCCAGGATTGATTTCGATCGACTGGGCTGAATTTCCCAGGCTCATCTTTTTTTCGCTATCTTGAAGATATGGACATTAGCCCTTCTCCAGTCTTCTAGCCCTTCCCCTCCTCCACGATCCCTCCTTCCTCCTACTTCCTGTGCATGTCCTGTTTTGTTTTCAGACCACCTTTAAACCCACATGGGCTTCTTCCTTTGCCTTCTACCCTCTTTTTTTTGTCAGAATTGCTTGTGATTGTGCCTTTTGAATTTCCTTTTTTGATTCCCACCCATCTCAGACTCCTTTCCAGGGAAATTGAAATGCCCCATAAAGAGGACATCACACCTCCTTGAAATGCTGACAATTTTCCTGCCAAAAGTTCCATCTTCATCTTTTCCTTGACTGGATAGTCAGTAATACACTCCAGGCACTGAGTTCCTTTCATTCCTTGCTCCATTTATATTGTACTTCTATTAATCTGAATTCATTTTCCATGAACATCCCTGAGAGAATTGGTGTTCCTTTCTCCCCCAATCCACTCAAGAGATCAAAGCAGGGGTAGAGATGGGGCCTGGAAGTGGGGCCTCTTTCAGTGTTCCACAGTTTCTGGTGCCTCCTCCCTCAACAAGGGCAGATCAAGCCCTACCCTTCACACCACCTCCCCACAGGCCCTATGACAGCCCCCCAAGTGCAGGACTGACCCCCATTCCTGTCCAAAGGCCTGGCAAGAACAGAAGAAGAGCCACTGTGGATCCAGTCAAAGGTCCACCCAGTCCAGCCCTCCATGCAAATGGGGCCAATAGGGCCCTCCAGCATGATGGGGATGAGACGCCCTCCAGGCCAAGCTCCGCAGCAACTGGGGAATGCAGCCGAGCTGCCTCTGGGGGAGGAGGGGGCACGTGACCCGCAAGGCTAGTCGCCCCTGAGAGCCGCCTCCCTCATGAATCCATCAAGTCCCCTTTAAACCATCCTGGTGGCAGCAAATCCCACAATTTAACCACAGGATTTCCTTTATCTGTCCTGAACCTCCCACACATCAGCTTCATGGGATTAACCCAGGTTCAAAGGTTACAGTTTCATGTCTCCCCCTCACTGGACTCCACCCCTCGCTCTGCCCCGGGGGTCCCCCTCCTCTTCCCCATTCCTCTCCACTCTTCCTCTTCCCTCCCCACTCGCACTCCTCGCATCTCTCACACTTCCCCTCCTCTCATCCCAGTCCAGCCTGAGGTCACCATCTCCCCCACCAAGGATGACCCCCTCTCCCCCCGCTCCCTGCTGCTCTGCACCACGGCCAGCTTCTACCCCGGGGAGATTGAGGTCCGCTGGCTGAAGAACGGGCGACGGGCGACGGAGGGGGTCTTCTATGGGGAGGAGCTGCACAACGGGGACTGGACGTACCAGACCCAGGTGATGCTGGAGGACACCCCCCAGCGCGGAGATGTCTATGCCTGCCAGGTGGAGCATGCCAGCCTGCAGACGCCCATCACTGTGCAGTGGGGTACGGCCCTCCTCCCCTTCCCTCTGTGGGGCACTCCTGGAACTGGATGGCTCTGTGGGTGGTTTTGGGGGAAGGAAAGGAGGGGCTTGAGGTGGACAGGGGGAAGGGTGGCCTCTTTGGAGGGAGCAGTGGAGATCAGGGGTGGCTAAAGGTCTCCCCCCAAGAAGAGGACAGCAGCCCCACTTCCCCCCTTTATGTTAAGTCTGGAGCTGCATCCAGCCCCCCACTTGCCTCCTAACAATTTTCCAGTCTGGGACTGCCGAGCCCGGGAGGGACAGAACCAAGAACTCAACCATTTGGTTCTCTCAGACAGGGGCCGTGCCCGAGAGATCTGCTGTGGGGCTGGAAGGTCACATTCCGCTCATGTAGTGCATGGAATGGGCTCCCCTGACAGTCCCTGGGGCTGTGACGATAAACCTGGCCCTGATCCGGCTCCCACGCAAGTCTCCCCTCCTCTCTCCTCAGAGCCGCGGACGTCCACGTCTGCCAGGATCAAATTGTGGACGGGGGTCGTGGGGGCCCTGCTGGGTATGGTCTTTGTGGCCATGGGGCTCTCCTGCTACCTGAGGAGCAAGAAAGGTAAAGGGGGCATTGGAGTTCACCTGAGGAACTTGGGGGGCAGATCCAGCCCTTTGAATGCAAAGGGAAAATTCTTTTCCTTTTAGTTATATTCCCAAGCCTTTCTCATTCAAAGAGAAAACTCCAATAGTTTAAATCATATCTAATTAAGATTTGAGATGGGGGATCTTTATCTAAGGCAGGTTCCTGGGGGCATCGAGGGATACAGGAGGGGGGGGTCCCCAGCTGCACTGCCCTCCTGTCTCCCCAAAGACCAGAAGGCCTCTGAAGGGGCATGGCTTATATCCCCCCTCCAAATCAGTGACCATCTTGGTCCAGCAGCTTTCCTGGGAAGGCAGTTTGTATTTTGCAAAAATGGGGGATTTGGGCTGAGCCATGGAAAGACTTCGGCAGCTGTTGCTTTGAGGAGCTGATCCTGCTCCAGGAGAGGAGGGTGTTGCTTTGGTGCTCAGGAATCAGCCCCTCCCTCCATGCATTAAACTCCCTCCCTCCCTCTCTCCCTCTCTCTCCCCAGCGTCTCCCGTCCAGCAACCTGCAGGTACGGCCTCCTCCCCAGTCGGTTGTCTCCATTTCTGTCCTGTTCCTCCAAAGAAGCTTGTCGAGAATGCAGGATGCATGTCTGAAGGGAGCTCCCCTGGTGTCTGTGGGCACTTTTTAATGTTTGCAGCGATATGTCTGGCTTTGTGGGGGGATTCAGTCAGGGGCAAGGGTGGGAAAGCAGCCTCAGCTGCAAACAAAATGACAAGTGAAGAGGGGAGGTTTTTTTTTTTTTTTTTGTAATGCTCAGACAAGGAGGAGAAGCACAGTCAGACTTTGCTCTGGCAGGAACTGATCTGCTCCACCCTTCTTGTTTTTGCTCTGCTCCAGTCACACCCTCCAGATTGAGCCCTCAAGTGACAGGCTGAATCCTGCAGAAAGGCTCTTCCTGAGCTTCCCTCTGGGGTCTCTCTGTGGAATAGGGTGGCTTTGGGGGGCAGCAGCAGATCCCAGAGTGGGGTGTGAGTGGGCAGCTTCCCCCCTCCTCTGGCTGCATTCACAAGCTCTCCTGGAGGGCCTTCAGGCTGGGGGTGGCTTGAGGGGCTGCAAGGGGAGAGGACTGGGCAGAAAAGCCCCCAGACAAGTCAGCAGCCCCCACCCTGTTTCCTTCCTGCCTTTTCTAAGCATGGATTTTCCTTCTCCTGTTTTTATTTCCCCCTGCAATTTCCCTGTCTCCTTTCCCACCCCTTTCCCTGCAGCGCTCATCGGCTAGTCCTCCAGAGCACAGGCGGAAAAGAAGATACTTCAATTCTTCCTGCTGGAGCTCAGTTTTTCTATTCTGTCCTTGTGAGATGTGTAGGCGGAGGGGCTGGGAAGCTGCAGGTTGGCACGAGGAGGAGAACTGCAGCTGAAGCTGCTCCTGCAAGGACCATCTGGCTTTTCCGGATCTTTTGTCCACTTTTGCTTGGGTGGGTGGGAGTTGATGGGATGGGACTCATCCTGCCAGGCACTCAGAACAGTGTGGCTTGGTTGGGACTCATCCTGCGGAGTCCCTCCTTTCTGATTAAGAGCTGGGAGAAGCCACATTCCCTTCCGCACCCGCAGCACCCCATGGACACCCCCTGATGGGGCAGTGATGAGAGTTGCTCCTGGCCCGCTTCTACTTTTCCCGGAGCTGCTGCAATTTCGGGGCTTGGAGCTCTGAAAGCTTCGCTCACACTTGCAGGCTGACTTGGCACCAATAAATTCTGTTCTTGCCTGAATGGAGAAAAGTAGTTGGTTGACATGAACAACTGAAGGATGTTCTGTTTAGAGAGGGGCTGTACCACGGTGGTAGAGCCCCTGCTGGGCATGCCGAAGGTCTGGACTCCACCCACAACAGTCTCTCGAGCCTGAGACAGCCCAGAGTGGCTGCTGCTCAGTGCTGGAGGTGGGTGGCTGCAACTCGGGGGGGGGGGGAGCCGATGGGGAGGGTAGTCCTTCTTGGGTCCTCTGTCCTCACCAGCAAATGGGGATGGGGAGGCTGCAGGTGCCAAGGGGAGATGGGACACAAGTGCAACTGGGCAGGGCAAGGGGGCACAAAGCTTTCCTTGCCCTGGGAGCAGATCTGCTTGGCCCTGGGGTTGCTTGGCCCAAAGGGGTCACAGTCCTTCCGTGTGGCCTCTTGCACAGGTTAATATGCTGCATGCGAATTGCACACCTGGAATACAAGCATGTTCACTCTGGAAGAGGCTGCACAGGTGAGCGAGGCAGAGAAGGGCCGGTGGTCGGGGGCTTTTGTCCACGACTTGGCAGGGAAATCGTGAAAGGGACACAAGAGCGTCCCCTCACATGTGTTTCTCGGGCACATCACACGGTTATCACCACCAGAGGGGTGGCTTATGGACCCCCGAAACTTTTCCTGATGGAGCAAGTGAGGGGAGAGGATAAGGGTTTGGGTTCAGGGTGTTGGAGGCACTGCAGGGGCTGGCGGTACTGCAACAAAGAGGGGGCTGGTATCAGGGAACACAGGAGGAAGGGACCCAAGGAAAGGGATCTGTGGGAAGGAGTTGAGATGCACGTACACCAATGCTAGAAGTATGCGATTAAGCAGGAAGATGTCCTGACTGATCAGATTCTAAGGATATTGTGGGGGAGGGATACAGGAATTCTGGAAGTTTTCAGTCTCCTGGATATTAGTTGAAAGACTCACTCAGTGGTGACAGCCAGGTCACATTGCTTCCTAGAAGCTATAGAGGGAGGGTTTGTCGCACAGAGGGTCCCAGAGGTGATGGGAGGGGGGAACATCCTTGACTTGGTCTTGACTAACAGGGAGGAGCTGATAGATGAGGTACAGATTAGGGGAGTTCTGGATGCGAGTGATCACTCCATCCTTTGCTTTGAGATCAGGGGAATGGGGACATGCAGCAGGTCGAGCACTAGAAGCTGGGACTTCAAGAGGGCCAGCTTTGGCCAACTGAAGGCCAGGCTGGGGAAAGCCTCTGGGATAGGCTACTCAAAGGCAAGTGAGTTGAGGAACTAACCTGGCCAAGGTGTGGCGTTTCACAAACTCCTCCTTCCCGTTCACCCCTCCGTCCTTCATCCCTCTTGACCCACCCGTGATCAGTCACCTCCTGGACAGCTGTGTGTTTCCTTTGAAGTGGCCGCTGCACAGGTGAGCAAGCCCTCTTGCGCCATTGGCCGAGCGGGTCTGTGAGGTCACAAAGGCCCCGCAGCCAGACCCTGAAGGATTGGCTGAGCTCTTGTAATGACTTTTTTGTTTATTAATTTATGTAAGTATGTAACTTGTATGCTGCCCCATTAGCCATCAGGCTCTCTGGAGGCTCACAGCATGTTGAAACAATGAGATTGGGATGCATTACCAGAAGTATTACTTCCAAATCGCGAGTAGTAGTAGTTCCTCTATACTCCTTACTTGCCATACCTCACCTGGAATGCTGTGTCCAGTTCTGGGCTACAAGATTGAAGAAAGATGCAGGGAAATAAGAAAGGGTCCATAGGAGGGCAACAAAAATGATCCAGAGATGGAAACACTGCCCTCTGAGGGGAGACTGAGGTAACTGGACATGTTCAGTCTTGAGAAGAGAAGACTGAGGAGGACATGAGATCCTTTAAAAATCCCTCAAAGGCTGTCACAAATAAGAAGGTTGAGATCTCTTTTTCTGAGACCAGAGTGCAGGACACGGAAGAATCGGTTCAAGTTGTGGCAACCCAGATCCAGGCTGGACATCGGGAAAAGTTTCTTCATGGTCAGAGCAACACGGCAGTGGGACCAGCTGCCTGGAGAGGTGGAGGCTCTCTCTCACTGGAGGCATTCAGAAAGAAACCGAGCAGCCCTCTGAGTGGGATGTTGTGACTGGGTGTCCTGCAACAGCAGCAGCAAGTTGAACCCGATGGCCTTCAGGGCCCCTTCCGGCTCTTCTATTCTGTGATTCTATGATTCAAACTGTTACTGGACTGAAACTGGGCAACTAGGAACAGTCAGCCTGAGTTTCCCCCAGACCCACGTCCAGATAGATCCTGGAGACGAGCCTCTGAGCCAAACAAGCTTGGTTCTAGTGCGCTATAGAACAAGGGGAGATCAAGGGGGGGCCGCCCAATGCAAGATGGGAAAGCATACATTATGAACTCTATGTCAGAAACAGAGTTCCAGATTCATGTTTGATACATCAGTACAGTAATAATCAACCCCTTTTGGCGCCTTCTTCAAAGAATCCATTCTTCTTCCAAGGACTTCCTTCCCCTCATGCCCACAGTTTATCTCTCAACAGTTTCCACCACCCTGACACATTTTGCTACTTTTATGGAGACTTAAACTGGGTTGGAGAGCCCTTGGCCCTTCTCTTCGAGTTTCTGCTGACTTGTCATCAGGGGGTTACACCTGATTCCTCTTGCCCTCATATTTCTCTCCCCCCACCCCCTTTCCTGTGACAGGAAGTTTTATATGGCTGTGGTGACCTAAATTGTTAGGTTTCTTCTCAGGTTGGCTTCTAGGGATTCTGTGCTTGATAACAATAATATAGTTAAAACAGTGTAGGATATGTATGGTTGAGATTGCAATGTATGCTTGTGGGAGCTGGACCATAAGGAAGGCTGAGCACCGAAGGATTGAGGCCTTTGGATTGTGGTGCTGGAGGAGACTCCAGCGAGTCCCTTGGACCACAAGGTGATACAACCGGTCAGTCCTGGAGGAGATCAACCCTGACTGCTCTTGAAAAGGCCAGGTCCTGAAGATGGAGCTCAATGAAGCTCAAACCAGTCAATTTTAGATAAAACCAGTCAGTCTTAGAGGAGGTCAACCCTGACTGCTCTGTAGAAGGTCAGATATGGAAGATGAAGCTCAGATACTCTGGCCATCTGAGGAGAAGGAACAACTGAGGCCTTTGGACTGTGGTGCCAGAAAGACTCCTGCGAGTCCCTTGGACTGCAAGGTGATCAAACTGGTCAGTCCTAGAGGAGATCAACCCTGACTTCTCTCTAGAAGGTCAGATCCTGAAGATGGAGCTCAAATACTTTGGCCACCTAATGAGAAGGAAGGACTCCCTGGAGAAAAGCCTGATGCTGGGAACAATTGACGGCAAAAGGAGAAGGGGATGGCAGAGGTGGAGGTGGCTGGATGGAGTCACTGAAGCACTGGGTGTGGGCCTAGGTGGACTCCGGGGGATGGCGGAGGACAGGAAGGCCTGGAGGAGTGTTGTCCATGGGGTCGCGGTGGGTCGGACTCGACTTCGCAACTAACAACAGAATACGAAAACCAAGAGTACAATAGAATCAATAACTAAGAGACATACAACAAAACAATAAGTTAAATTATTTACAATCATTTTAATAAAAATAAGGTAAATTTATTTGGGAGAACAACCAGGAAGGTTGTAAGGAAAGCCTCGTTGGCAGCCAAAACAAAGAAAACCAGGTTCAGTCGGGAAAGACCCCTTTGGCCTTGAACCTCAGCAGTTTTACTGACAGATCACCCAGGCCCCTGCAGTTACTTATGATAGCAGGCTACCAGGTATGGTTCTCACCGCCAGCTACAAGTTTTTAGAACATACACAGAGTGTTGTATAGATTCTGAGTCACATGGGCCCAGCAGTTGGGCAGTTGAGGATGAAATAAGGGGAACACAGTCAGAAGATGGTGAGGGGTCTGCAGAGGGGGCTCAGTACACTGGCATTTGAGTGCAGGAGATTAACATAACCATCACGGGATTCTTGTGAGTCTTGGCATGCAAATGAGGGTGATTGCAATGCTCTTAACTGGGCAGCCTGGCCAGTTCTCAGTAGCCCTGGCAGCTTCTTGGGGAAGCCACCAGGTCCCACTTCTTAAAATAACAGCAAGTGCCAAACAGTGACCTGACTTGGAATTTTGGGGTGCTTCTCGAGAAAGGGTTGCAGGCATTTTATAACACAAAGACGTATAAGCATCCCTTTTCTGCCAGGATTCAGCTGAATTTTCCCAACAAGGCCGAGTGTCCACCTGCCACTGGGAGCTTCGGCTATCGGGCAGGCAGTTGGAAGTGTAAGAAATGAAACTGGAGAAATGAAATGCACCTTGTGAGGCCGGCAGCCTCCCCACTTGCTCAGACCAGGCTGCTGGCAAGAGCAATGCAGCCCTTTGCTGCTGGCCCTTCTCCGTCTGGGAAGGGAGAGGGAGAGAGGAAGGCTGCCCAGCTACCGGGCGGCCCTGTGCTGCCGGCCTTTGAATTAACCTCTCATTCAAATCCACTTTCTGGCTTTCACAAAAGCAACAAGGCGATGTACAGCCACCACGTAATAAGCACAAGAATGATAAACAAGAAGCAACCGGAAAACCACAAACGGTGGCAGGCATTGTAAAGGCTGCTGGCTGAGCCGCTCCACAGGA